GTGGTTTCAAGGACCAGATATACGAGCTTTTCCAGTTGCTGCCGAGCGACACCCAAGTAGTCCTCCTTTCTGCGACGATGCCGGCCGATGTTTTGGAGGTGACGAAGAAATTTATGAGGGATCCCGTTCGAATTCTCGTCAAGAGAGATGAGCTGACGCTTGAGGGTATCAAACAATTCTACATCGCAGTTGAAAAGGAGGAGTGGAAATTGGACACGCTTTGCGATTTGTACGAGACTGTGACGATTACGCAGGCGGTCATCTTTTGCAATACGAGACGGAAGGTCGACTGGTTGACCGAGAAGATGCATCTACGAGAGTTTACGGTCTCGGCCATGGTGGGTAATGGTCCAGAGCAGTGTTTTTCGTGATTAATCCATTTGTCTTTCCCCTTCGTCGGAACAGCACGGAGACATGGAACAAAAGCAGAGAGAGGTTTTAATGAAGGAATTCCGGTCTGGCTCATCTCGTGTCCTCATCACTACGGATCTTTTGGCTCGCGGAATTGATGTCCAGCAAGTTTCACTCGTAATCAACTATGACCTTCCGACAAACCGGGAGAACTACATCCACCGCATTGGACGCGGTGGGCGGTTCGGACGTAAAGGCGTAGCCATCAACTTTGTCACGACCGAAGACGTCAGGATGCTGAGAGATATCGAACGTAAGCGTCATTCATACAACAACTTGATTCGGCAGGTACTGAGGTAGATCCGCTCTGGCGCAGAATTCTACAACACGCAGATTGACGAGATGCCTCTTAACGTTGCGTGAGTATCGTTCGTACTACGCGGCAACTTATCAGTCAGCTAACCATATGCACACATCTCTAGCGATCTCATTTAGATTTATTTGACACAAGATTCGCGGTACGACCGCTATAATTGTGGTCGCCATCGTGGAACACAGTCTTTGGAAATTCTCTTGATTGCAGTACCGTAAAAAGTGATAGTCGTGTTCTCAGCAAGCTGGCAAGCTGTATGGAGATTACCGTTTTCCTAGTACCTCGTTCCTTTGCGTGTCGTGCATATGTAGTCCGTTTACACTGCGTCATGAAAGCGGAAGTGGAGATGCGACATGTGGAACGACATTCTCATACATGCCACACCCTTGCGGATTGGGCTTCACAGGGCCTCACGCAGAAATGAAAAGGACGTGGTATCACTAATGAGCGCCTGGGAGCTCCATAAGCTCAATTCCAGTGTTGCAGCATAGCCTCATGGAAGTGCCGTCCCAACGGAGTCGAGTCTTAACCGGCTCTCGTCGAGGCTGTACCCTCGCTGTTATCGATTTCACAGGTTACGAGGTGCCGTGTATTTTTTTTCCCTTCAAAAGGATCTCGTCAGATTACCGCCCGCCTAGTCCAGCGACAAAAAGGGTCCCGTTGCCGGTTCAAGGCGGATATATTCCCCCCTTTCATCGCCTTGCCCCTCCAACGCTTCGCTTCCGCAGCGCAGAACAGCCCAAAATACAGTCCAGCCTCGCCTTGACCTCAACGTCAGCGGTTTGGCCTAGGCGGCCCAAGCTTCTTCATATACAAAAAAGCAGGGGCCCCCTGCATGTCTGTTCATCTCGATAGCCAAATCGTGCACCCGTGGCATCACTCCCACTCTCGCACCAACACCTCGTTACCTACCAAGCCACGAACCTTTAAGTTCAGGCATATTGCCCTTGACAGCTCCATATCATATCCCGTCAAAAAGTCGTCATGGTGAGTTTGTGTTTTGGATGGATCCCTCATCGCCCTTCCATCACATTTTTTTCATCCGTTTCCTTCGATCCATCTTCGTATTTCTCTTAAATATCATCATCGTCGCCACTTTCTTCTTCTTCACAATGGATACACGCTTGCTCACATACTACATCTCCCAGACACGTCGAGGAAGGCTCAGTATATCTACCACCCATCCTGCAAATCACTCCGTCACACCATCCACATCTACTCCCATGACCGCCGCCACTTGGCCCGCAGCCTCCCCTGTTTCCCGAGAGACACCTTATGCTCTCCGCCCACCCAGCGCTTCTGAAATCCTCCCTCGATTGTTTGTCTCCGACCTCGCTTTCGCAGAAAACTCTGCCTCGCTCGCTTCGCTGGGAGTCACTCACGTCCTCTCCGCCATGTGTGGCCACGTTGCCGTCCCGCGTAACATCCACCTTCAACACGTTCAGTGCAACTTGGAGGACCTTCCCTTTGCTGAACTCGTGGACAAGTTACCTGGGACGACGAAATTTATCCGCGATGCATTACGAGATCCTAATGCGCGCGTGCTCGTTCACTGCGTGGAAGGCGTCAGCCGTAGCACGTCGGTTGTCTGCGCGTACCTTATTGCCGAGTATGGATACACCACTGAGCGGGCTATCCAATATGTCAAGTTGAAGAGACGATCTGCAGAGCCCAATTTCGGGTTCGTACAGCAGCTTCGCGAGTACGCGGACAAGCTACAGCGACTATGAGAAGACTCAGGGTCACTACCCCACGCACATCACACCTACCATACCATGCACCCATGGACACGCACACTCATACAGCAGATGGCGCCACAGATGTTATGAATCTCTTATGACCGATGTTTATGAAGCAGTGACAGTAAAAAGGCCAGGTCATTTGTGCCACCTGCAATGGGTGGCAGTCAGATGATTTCCTCTTCCCTACCCGTCGGACACGCAGACAGACACGAGGTTTCATTCGGGCACTATAACGATATTTGCTTTCGGACCAAAGTGACAATTATCCTGTACATGTATCCTCCACTTTATACCCCTCACGATCCATATTTATGCTATAGGGGGTTTACTGCACTCGTAATAATGCTGCGCAGCTATGCGGCAATAGCAATAACCATAACTATTCCTAGTCCGTCGTCCACTCTATCGTACAAGGTCTTGCTATGTATAATGATGAATATAATATGTGCGGCGATATGATCCTCACGAGCAGCATCCTTGTTTCCTCGTGCCACCCTTACCTATCCCTGTATTGCCGTCGGAAGGCTTCGAAAGCTTCACTCCGGGTGACTGGAGGGTGGGTAAAATGAACCGTGTTACAGTAACGGCGCGAATTGCGGAGAAGCGGTAATTGCGTCAGCGCCTCGACAGGTAGAATCAAGACAACCTACCCTATTATCGTCAAACACGCCCCGTTTTATCTTGTCCAGGATATCACGCGCTGCTTGTTCAAATGCCCAGTCTACGTTCCGACCCGATTTAGCGCTTGCCTCTACAAATAGTAATCCTTCTTCCTTTGCCCACCGCTCAGCCTCCGCCGTCGGAACCTCCCTGCGTTTATGGTTGGCACTTTCCTCGGTCCCGCCGTCGCACAGATCCACTTTATTCCCCACAAGAATACAAGTCAGGTGTGGGTCTGCATGTTCTCGCACGTCGGCTAGCCACGACCGTGCGTCGAGAAAACCTGTGTTTCGAAGAAGCTTGTCGTCAGCAGGTGAAAATGCATTTCCGGGAAAAAAAAAAGGGGGGGGGGGGGGGGGCGGATGGAGCAAATATTCCACGAGAGATACGCACTTGCACGGTTGGTCACATCGTACACCAACAGACAACCCGCGGCGCCACGATAGTACGAACGCGTGATGGATCTGAAGGACTCCGTTCCAGCAGTGTCCCAGCCTGATCGTGTCACGAAGCAGAGACGCGCGAGATAAGCAATGTCAATTTAGGAGTGGGAAAAGCGCATGGCATGTACTACACGTCAGTGGCCAGGCTGTAGGAAACGCGGCATGTGCGTGAAAGTGGGAGACGAACACTGCAGTTTGATGATCTTGCCCTCTTCGGGTATCTCAATTAACTTTGCTCCAAATTCCACTCCTAGCTAGATGAATCGCAAATGGAGCAGAGTCAGTGTCGAAACACGTGTGGTAGAAGAAATCATATGAATATAATGACGAATATCACTCACAGTTGGGTCCGGGTTGGAGAGAAAGCGTTGGTCCGTGAGACGGACGAGCAGTGAAGACTTGCCCACCGCCGCATCCCCTGAGAACGCGCGTCAGTCGAACGGTGGTCAAGGCTGAGCAAGCCCAATGGTCAACCTGTTATTATGAATTTGAGAACATAGTGCCACGTTACACCCGACATCGTGGACCCAGTACAACCGTTGCAAGTGGGGAATGGAAGAGGTCATTGCGTCACAACCTGGGTCGACCCGTCTTCACGGGGGTCGCAGCGGACATTCCCGGGAAAAAGTCGCTGATAGTTGAGGTGTGTGTTTAACTCGCAACATTTGACCACGATGAGCAGTGCAACCTGGCGAAACTTTTTCACGTATGCTATCGCTATCGTTGTTTTGGGCGACTGATTCACCGTCTTATGCTTTTTTTTTTCCTTCCAGGTACAATAAGTACGCCCAAATCACTGCACGAGCCGTTCGCCAGTCATTGAAAGAGACGGAGCGTGTCGCTGCTGAGAAGAGAGGCGTCACCGCCCTACGATACCAGAAGTGGGAGAACGGTGTGGGTGGTACACAGGTGCGAAATGCATACGGCCTACGTATGTTTTACAGTTTGTTCAGCACGTCCTCCAGGTATACCTGAACCCTGACGCGGATAAGGGTCTTGGCAAGCCGGCAGTCTAAACCCATCTTTCGTAGCTTCGATATTCATTCTGATATTGTCCCTCAAATGTGGAAATAGAGTTGCCTGAGTCGTCGATGGAACCACTTGCGTTTGAGGTCGGTGAGGTACAAACTGCGTTCAAATCTGCGCGACCCTTGTACACTACCGCGTCTCTCGTGCCATTCAAAGCTAAGGCTAGGTTAAGTTAATGGGTGGGCGAGGGAACTCTCGCGGCAGCACCGCGATGGTCAAGTCATTTCCTATGCACTACTGGTTCAATGGTCTCTTTCGTGACTGGTGCTTTCCCAGCAAAGAAGCACCATGCGTTCAGGTCTGGCCGCTAGTTAAGCGATTATTCCTTCCAATTCATTTGTTTCAGCATTCACACGTCGTCCTTAATGCTGATGACAACCTAGCGTTCCAGTGATGGCTATTGTTATACCATGGTGACACCGATGTCATCCTTGTGGATTGCGAAGTGCTTCGCTTTTCGCCCACATCAAATTTATTGAACATTCATTTCCGCGCCCCCCCCCCTCCGCGACCTAGCGTATTGACCTAGGGGTCGTCATCACCGCAATGGGCTGTCCGCCATATTACTGATGTGGTTGTGATGGTTATGCGTACACACGTCGGCCCGCTTCTGTTCCGTTCCACGTATTGGTTGTTCTCCCACCCCTTTTCATGGACTAGACCGCATACGTAGTTGAGACGTGGTCTCATATGCTGCCTGTCCCTTGCCCACTAGATCGGTGCGGACAGGTGTGGACCTGATTGAAGGCATCTCGCCTGGACAGTATTGCGGGTTCAATTCAGCAACTCAGCAATAAATGACTTTAGGATCCCCGGAGCCCAGTAGTACACTGGTTTGGGTTCGCTCGAGGTGGTAGTGTAGTCAACCGAAGGTGTGACAAGCTTCGTCTCACCACACTCACTCTAACGAGGCTGACAGCCTCAACATGCCAAGGGAAGCTGTTAAGGAAAGGAAGCAAAGAAAGCAAGGGGTCAATGTAAGTAGAAAGACCTGATGGAAATACAGGAAATAGAGGCACGGAACGTTGCGACTGACAAGTTTGAGGTCAAAATTTTGCTTCCTTCGACCGTAAAAGCTATGTATGGCTTCGAATATCGGGGCTTACTCTGTCCCTCAGCATCCACAGGGACAGAGCACTTTGCTGAATCTCTCAGATAGAAAAACCACGTACGCAGAGAGAACAGTTGCGAAAACTACTATAACAGCATTTGGAAGCGAAGAAGGCAGGCAAATAATACTTGATCTCCTGGCGTTTCATCCATTACAGTATATTGTCCATCAAAACACAAGGGCGGCACAACTTCGTACCGGCGTACCCTACATGTCCGTGATCCGGTAGATAGCAACGGACCTCACACAAAAGGCTCACCTTTTATCCGGTAATCTCACTTCCTCAACACAGTGAGGAGCGACGACGAACCAAGTAAAATAGAAGATAAAGGGAATGATGTCAATAAGTGGGGAAGAAAAGGACACGTTGGATCTACCAAACGACACGCTTTTACTTGTTCGTAACAAAACCTTTCCCAGAGTACCCTTCTGACGATATACCTGAAGATGAGGGCGGGAGAGGGGCCGTCAGCGTGACGCCAGAGCAAGTGGAGGAGTCGGGGGGACTCTGGCGTACCTGTGATGGGGTTGAGTTTTGCTTCGCGTGCACGTTCGTTGGATGCTTCTTCCCATTCGCGGTTGAGAGTCTTGGGTGGTGGTGGAGCTGTTTATAATTTTTATACCAAAACACAGAACGAAGAATCAGTCCGTCAAACATCCGGGAAGGAGGGAGTTGGAAGGCACAGTGAGAAAAAAAAGACGTACCAAATGACCTGATCGCGAAATACGTCATTGCTGCGACACCGATGAGACCCGAAGTTGCGAAGAAGATTTTAAGCCCTTGACCCGGAGGGGAAACCGGAGCTCGAGGTCCATGAGGTCCGAAAGCGACGTAATAGGCTATTCTCGAGCGAAGTGATGGAAAAGAATCCAGTGATATCACGACACGGACACGTTCAAACCCAACGTTCATTCAAGACCGGAAAACATGAAAAATGACACTGTAAGAACAACGAACGCGAAAAAAGAGACGCTCAAGCGTGAGGCGAACCTACGCACCAGCTTTCTTTTCATCGATCGACAGCTGTTTCCAATCTTTCTTCTGCAACTCCTCGAGTTGTCGGTGTACGAGGGCCTGATCGCTCTTGGACATTTGCTCCCACTGCGCCTCCATGTTCGAGAGCGGGATGACGGACTGTGCGGGTGCAGCTGTCGGCGAAACAGGCGCGTGTGCTGCGGTGGTGAGACGACGCAATGCAACGCGCGAGCGGGCCAGGCAGATGGCTTGCATGGTGGAAAGCAAAGGAATACTGAACCGTGTTGGCAGAGAAAAGAAAATGGCTCAACGGATATTAGCGGGGCAAGGCGTGGGAAAAGCACACAACGACATGCCCGGGGGTGTTGATCGGCTGCCACCGGGTTGCACTGGGTATTCACGCGAACTTCACAAATGTACCGTGTCAAGCATGTTAGCCACTACACTCTCAGTACATAGTCCGGAGAGACACCAAGGAACACTTTTGCAAGGTGGAAGCATCGAGAAAGAAAGAAAGAAAGAAAGAAAAAAAGAAAAAAGGAAGACGACATGAAGATAATGTGACAGATGAAGCAGCAGTTTAGCAATACAAGGATATCATATCATCTTGCTCAAGCTCCGTCCACAGGAGCAGCAGGTCCAGTGCAGTCGCGTGAGATATGTCTAAACGCAACGTTAACCACCTGGCACAAGCAAACTACGGCACCTCACTTACCCCTCCGAACCACAAGTGTAGCAAGCACGCCTCTGAGGCTGAGGGCAATCGCGGCTAATGTGACCCTAGTGGGACACACACCCTCAGCAGAGTGTCTGCCATCTACACAGACCAACTTACCATTCCAGAGCAGTTATAGCACTTGGACCCCTGCACACAGTCCCGAGACAGATGACCTACGCCGCCGCAAGAGTAGCTGCCAAGACACGTATTAACATTCCGCACCCTCCACACTCAGGAGCGACACATTACCAAGTCTTGCCGCCGCCGCCGAAACCGCCGAAACCTCCGCCACCGTAGCCAGCATTACCGCCAGCACCCTCAGGGCATGCACGAGCAATATGCCCAACCTTTCCGCAACGGTAGCATTCCGTACCAGAGGATCCGAACCCGGCGCCGTAGCCACTATTGTTTTGAGTGCAATCACGGGACTTTCCACAATATGAGCCCAATCAACAGCCAAAAGAGAAAGGTTACGCGGCGTACAATATGACCTTCCAGACCACATTTGTAGCATGACTTCACCTTTGCTTCCATGGAGCAATCACGAGAGACATGACCTTCCATGCCGCCTACATGACAAGTAGTGTCGAACGACGGATGATACGTCAGACACCCATCCAACCTCCAACATCAGGAAAAGCAGCTTACAGTTGTAGCTGATACACCACAAGCACCAGATGAGCACCGTCTCTAACACATCACGTGACGATTAAACATTACCATGTAGGCGTGCCAGCCTTGGGACAGTTCGCAGCTTGATGGCCGACTGATGGTTGAGTTCCATTTTAAAGAAATGGTTGATCGTTTTGCGTGGTGGTTTGCGTCAGGATGTGGGTGTGGGAGAGAGGTCACAATAAAAGGCGCGTGAGCAACGTCAATATATTGCATTGCGATTGGAGCGAGTGGTCGAGAACGTGATCACATATGCGTCATCGGTAATATATGAAAAGCAAAGAAGATGAACACAACGGTCCACGTCAGCGCCCTACCACACGCGGAAAATGATTGAAACGAAGGAGGACAAGAAAGGAGTAGACGAATGGCGCCTAAGTCGCCGGAAGCGACCCCCTCTCGTCAGGTAGACAAAGAAGTGCCGAGGAAAGGTAGAGCGAACAACACGAAATCACCACGCACAGCCTCCACAGTTGAAACATCCTCGCAGAGCAGACATTTTTCTTTTTCAACAAGATGTGACCTGCGGGGAAATTTTCATTAGGGGGCGCCCGAATCATGCACACTCAAAAGTCCTCCTGCACGAGTCGGCCGTGATTCGTGCAAGAGGAGCCCAAAGAAATAAAGGACGGAACACATACCTTGTATGAGATGGTGGTAGTTGGAGGTCAAGGGGGTATGTAGCAGGAAAAAGAGGGAGTCGGATGCCATAATCAAAGGCAATCTCGGACACGTGGTGATCACGTGCCAGACTGTACACACTAATACTAATACTAAATAGCTCATTTACCCAACTCCTTCGAGTTGGAGTTCTCTGCCTTCACAGTCCGCTTCTCCTTGTCATCCACGCTGTCTTCCAACTCAGCGCGCCCTATTGTCGCCTTATTGTCCACCAACGCATGCAACGCAATCACCGCCCTCAATAGACTGCTCAAATACACCACCAACAACTCATCGTTCGTGCTTGACGTGAAGCTCTGCGTCAGCGTCGCATCGCTAAGGTCAGGCAACAAATTCAGCGCATCTTGGAGATGGTATATGATTTGATGGTTCACGGGTAACTTGCCCTCGGCCACGTCCAGGAGGTAGGTGTGGATGTCTCGCAGTCGTGATTGTAGCCCTTGTAAGGACGCAAGCTGTTCGCTTACGCGCGTTGCGAGCGTCGTCGTCGTCGAATCCTTAATATCCCGCAAAAGATGTTCGACTCCGATTTCTTCGGCTTCTTCTGCCTCGATGGCTGAAGGGACGTGCAAAAACGTTTTCCGTGTCTCCGTACCGTCCTGGCAAAATCGTTTCACCACGTCTCAGACATGATGAAAATAGATGACATCTACACTGAAGACCTTACGTCTTTGATCTCTTCCACCGCATAGTATGCATCTGTGGGGATGCCAACAGTGTCTGGTCGCACGTCGATAATAACCATGATCGGTTTGGCGATGAACCGTTTGAACAGGTCGTTGATTTCCTGGTCCGAAGCCCGAAGTTTTGGGCCCGTATGATACCAGCCAATCATCCGTTCTCGGGCTGATCAAGTGTGGCACACACCACATGGAGAATTGAGGGAAATAACGGGAAAAAAGGCAGGGAAGACACACCGTTAACTTTCCTAAACATATCATACATGCCCTCTATGTAATTATGATCCAAAAACCACGTCTTGCTATCCTTCTCGTCCTCTTCAAACGGGATCGCGAATGAATTGGCGACGTTGACAGTTTTGCCGTTGTCTTGTCCCAATAGAACACCAACGACGCGTTTTGAGGACGTACGTGACACGGACCGGGCATGATGGTCTGTCACGGAGAGCAGAACGAGAGGGTGGACGACTAAGAAGCAGTTCAGGATCTGGGGTGTCAAATGAGTGCGAGCTAGTGGCACTCGCCTACGGTCGTGTTAGCCAGAGCTGTTAACTGTAAACCAAAGTCGTCAGTTCATTGAAGAACCACGACCATATGGCACTTACTTGTTCGCTGGTGGAGGCGACCATGATTGGGGACGGCGTTCCTCTGCAGGCGCAGCTGACTTTCGAGTTTGTAGGACGCGCGTCCTTGTTGACGGGTGTTTGTACTAGTCCCTATGTTATAGCTATTACGACTATTAGTCTAACGTGTCCTCCCCAATAACACACTCCCCGCGTCATATCTCGCCTTCCCTTCTTTTCATACGCGGGGATGAGACCGTATCTTTCGTGAAGAGCCACTGGGAGAATTTGGAGAACGAGAGTTGAAGCATGACGGGTTCGGTCGCGAGTGGTGTCTGTTTCGTCGATGACTACGATCGGGTATACATTCCACATGAACGTGTCATGAGCGAAAGTATGTATCGGCAACACGAACGTGATCGCGCCGCCGGATCTCTTGTTTCCAAGGTATGCACGGCGTCTCAAAGCGAAGCATCTCGAAGAATGTGATCATATTGTTCCATTAAACCCTTCATCAGAAAACCACACCGACGCCCCAGGATGTAGGGGGAGGGGGAAAAAAGAGCCTCACATGATCGTCCTCCTATGCACACAGCCTGTCGTGGGTAAGACTTTCGATCTTCTCTTGCTTATCCCGCGTGGATGAGAAGGGCTCTAGTACGTTCTGGGGAAGTCCCAGGTTGACTGGTACCGGTCAGCACTATACCCAATGGAAGAAAGGAATGGCATGGCCGATGCACACCCCACACGCACCTTCAAATAATACAAACGGTTCAGCACAATCACGGCGTGTGGAGCAAGCACCAACGAGACCTGGCTGAAGTTGAGAATGTAATTAGCCATAACAAAATTGCGCCGCACCTTCTTTGCGTTGTTCCCAACTGCATAACGAGACGGTGAGCGCAGGATCCAATACCAAAACCGCGGCTCGCAATCCCCTCCCTCCCTGGGTTGGACCCACCAACGAGCTCGGATCACACATAGGAAGAAGTTCACCTTTAGAAAACCAAGCCCGCACCCGTTCCTGCACGGCGTACAACAGCGGTGCATTCTCTGATGCCGCCTTTGGCCGCGAGACGCGCCCAACGAGCGGGATCATGGGTATTTATTGCAAGTGCACGCCTGCCAAAAATGTGCGCGAGGAAACGAAGAGGGCATTGGCTTCGTTGAGCATTCGATAGGCTGGTTGGAATGAGTCCTTGGTGAAAATTTTTTATTTCAGAGCCACGACCGAAGTGCGAGCAGTCAAATGAGCCTTAAGAACCAATACGTAGGTGCTGTCCTATGTATACTTCAAATACGATAATCATCATAATCACCACCAATGGGCAAGTGACTCCAGCGGGAGACGTAGGACTTGACAGGGACAGATGAAGCGAGCACCAGGCACTGGGCAGGCACCAATTACCTAGGCTAAGCTCGCACTACATGACACTTCACCCTGTTGGAACCCGAGAAGGATTCTTAAAACCGTTGTAATGTACCTCTGATGCTATTCCTCGGGAAACAAGCTACTATGGATTGAATATATATGGCACTGAAACATCGAGGGCTATCTAGTAAGAAGATGGGATCCCGCTAAGTACGAACTCGGATAAGATTGCCCAACAACCAACACCACCATGTTCCCGCCAATGTACACCGCGATTGCAACAACAACCGTGATGAGGATGGCAACGGATTGCTCGAAAAATTGGTGCTAATTAGGGGCTACATTAAGCACAGGATAACGAAAGGTATCCAAGTAACTCACCTCGATTCATGTACTCCACGCCTCTGCGTTGCAAGAGACATCTGAGATGGGTAAAATAAGGTAGCGGTTGAATGAAATCAACATTCACTCTCTTAGCCTCAGCGGCGGTTTCGCAGGAAGCCGTCATTGTCGATTCACGAGTTTCTTGGAAACTTGCCCGCCACGGTTGGAATCTAGCCTCTGCTAGGCGGCATTCCTCCTCCGCCTTAAACGCCTCTAGCTCGAACTTGTCCGAATCCGAATCCAAAACCAACTTCTGCGTCACCAGCTGGGGCATTGCGTCGCCGCCTCGGGGATCTGGTTTGCTACCTCGGGAGTCTGTTGCCCCTGCTTGTACTGCCGTCGCTGCGTTTCCTTTCTGGCTGTATATAAACAATGAGACCGGAGGATTAATGGTTTTTTAAGTGCCTGCTCTTCTGGACATGCTGTTCGTGATGAACAGCATATCCGGAAGAGCAGGGACTTCATGCATATCGTTGGTATGAGCGATAATGTGACGGACTTGTGACTCGGATTACATAATACTCTACCACCTCGGACGGTCGCAACTCTCTTTCATATCGTAGCCGACGCAGACTCGACCCCACCCCAACAAGCAGGAGACCAGCGGCGACTGAGACAGGCAGGCAAAGTTAGCGAAAAGAGAACGAGCGTCATGCCCACAGCAACAGTCAACGGTATAAATGCAACCTCTACCACGAATGGAAAGGCCATTAAATCCAAAAACCAGCTTCGTCGGCTAAAGGCCAAGCAGAAGAAAGCTGCTGCTACTGCTGCGGAGACGACTTCTGTGCGTCATCCTCTTCCTTGGTTGCGATCGCGGAGACTAACACTATCTTCATAATCTGCATTCGCGTGCTCACCGAAATAAAAGGCAACCGGTGTTGTCCAGGCGAAACGCGAACAGGCGCACGACGACGAAGACAATGTTGAGTATATTGTCGAGCAGTTGGACGTGCAGGATCCGACACTTGAAATCTTCTCCGACATTTTTGCTAAATTCCAGGTTGTGTCTGAGGTTCAAGTGCGTCCATTCTCCGTTTCGGCGCTCGTCGTATTGAATGTTGTCATTTCCTGCAACGTAACGGATTCAGGAAAAAGACACCCAACCATCCAAAGGCGAAGTTATCTACTCTGACGACGACATGGCCTCCGACGAAGGGTCAGATGCAGAAGCCAAAGCCAAACCCCTTTCCAAGAGCAAGCGGCGAAAGATGGCACGACTGACGATTGCCGAGCTCAAACAGCTGGTGTCCAAGCCAGAAGCCGTCGAATGGACCGACCCCACTGCTGCCGATCCCAGGCTACTTCTCCACCTCAAGACATACCGTAACACAGTGCCTGTTCCTGCCCATTGGAGTGCCAAACGTGATTACTTGCAGGGGAAACGTGGTATCGAGAAGCCTCCCTTTCAGTTGCCCTCGTATATTGCGGACACGGGCATCGCAACGATGAGAGACGCGATCAAGGAAAAGGAGGCAAATATGTCGCTGAAAGCAAAGACGAGAGAGAGGGTTCAGCCGAAAATGGGGAAGATGGACATCGACTATCAGAAGCTGCATGATGCGTTTTTCAAACATATGACCAAGCCGGTTGTCACAGGGTTCGGGGAGATGTGAGTGTGTAAGATTGTCCATGGATGCCATCTGTATTCTGACGGGATTTCTCGCCACTGCTATGTAGGTACTATGAAGGAAAAGAGTTCGAAACGTCCCTCAAGCATAAAAGACCTGGCGAGCTTTCCCCTGAACTAGTGGAAGCCCTGTCGATCCCCCCTTTGGCACCGCCACCTTGGCTAATTAGCATGCAGCGTTTCGGACCTCCGCCTAGCTACCCCACTCTGCGGATTCCAGGTCTGAATGCACCCATACCAGAAGGGTATGTGACTGTCATCGTGCTTCTCCGAAGACAAAATATGATTTACCCTCTGTTTTCTGATCAGTGCGCAGTGGGGCTTCCACCCTGGTGGATGGGGTAAGCCCCCGCTGGACGAGTACAACCGACCATTATATGGTGATGTCTTCGGTGTGTTGCCTAAAGTAACAGACACAAACGTAGGTGGTGCTTTGTTGTGTTTCGTGTCTGTGTACTGATAGTTCTTTACGTAGGCCGGAGAACCAGTCGAGAAGACACCGTGGGGTGAGCTGGAGCCAGAGGAAGGTACGTATGCGCTTTTCCCCTCCCATGACACAACCTAATGCCCTTCATAGAGGAAGAGGAGGAAGAGGAAGAGTCCTCGGAGGAGGAAGTGGAAGAAGAGGAAGCCGCCGAACCCGCTGCCACGGACGGGTTGCAGACTCCTTCTGGATTGGCGACGCCCTCTGGACTTACGAGTGTCGTCTCGACTGTTGCAGGTGGACTAGAGACGCCAGACTTTTTGGAGCTGCGAAAGACGACGACGCGGGAGACCGCGGAGAGCACGAGTGGTCCGAGGTCGTTGTATCATGTCGTGCCGGAGAAGCAGACGAACGTGCGTGGACTCATGGGGAGCGAGAGGGGGTACGATGTCGCCGCTGTTACGGGTGGGCAGGCAGCTATACCTGTACTAGGAGAAGACCGTGGTACAAAGGTCGGCTGACTCGTTCATTTCTGGAGGGTGCAACTGATGATGATTGTTGCCTCCTGGTGAATAGCGCAAGAATGGAGTGGACGTTTCGTTGGACGCATCCGAGTTGGAAGGAATGTCTACGGAAGATTTGAAACGTAAGTACGAGCAGCACGCAAGGGGATCGGCCGGTGTTCCTGGCTCGAAAGAAGATTTTTCGGACATGGTTGCCAAGGAGATGGCAAAGAAGAAGCAGAAGATGGATAGGGACAGGGAGACGAAGAAGGGGGAGAAGTTCAAGTTTTGAAGTAGGATGTACATGGTGGTGTTTCCCTCTTTTCGTCGCTTTTGAGCCCTCATTACATTACATTCCCGTTTGATGGGATTGCCATTTGGCCGCCCGTTGCTAGTGTTGCACCGAGTTGTAGACTATGTATCTCCTTCGTGGGGATTATTCTTCAGGAGTGAATGATTCTAAGAGGACCGCTCACAGTTGGCAGACACAAGCACTAGCTAAGTACCAGGTTTGCGCCGCCTCGTGGAAGAAACGTATTCTAGCCAACTTATCATTTATGTAACTAAGTTCACCAGTTCCGTGCCTCGATGCAACATGCTGCCTTCTCTTGCGGTCAGTAACTGAATATCAAGCGAATGTGTAGATGGTACCTAGTGACATATGCTAAATTCTGTAAAGTACTACAGTAAATGCACACAAATAGAGTGACGACGAAATTGTCCTCGACTACCTCAATAGCCCATTCCGTCACTGGCCTCCTCATGGCCAGTCAGTACCCTGCGTATCCGAGTATTGACTACCTCTGCCAAGGGCTGATTTCGATGCCTCTTTGCCACCTTACGCCACGCTCTAGTGCGGGCCTTACGTCCCGCTGGAACACCAAGATATGTCAAGTGCGGGAGAAGATTCGAGAGATATTCAGCGACAGGCGCTTTTGTAGAGATGTATGAGCCGCAGAAATCAGCGAGCCATACGTTTGACCCTCGAATTACAGTGCTCTCTGCGGGGCGTAGACACATACCCAATGCAAAGTTAACGGAGAGTGAGAATGTCCGAAGCCTCGGACTGCAGCCGATGAAATTCGCGACTCCAAGCGAAGTGAGACGTGTTGGAGTCGCCTTGCTGTTTGATCTGCGCAGGTGGAGGTGTTCGAGGCGTGGCCAAGCTTGACCCATCTTCTCGATGAAGCAGTCCGATAGATCGATATGATAGTAAGTTTGAATCGCGAGGGTTCGGAGATGCTTCAGACAGAGACAAGGTTCTATGGTGGACTGTTCAAGAACGAATGCCGATGAATTTAGTGGCACGACAGTGGACATTATCTGCAACGATTCCAATAAGGGATACTTCGATGGGATGAGCACGAGAATCTCTTTCAGTTCCTGCGAGTAGCTTTCATCGTCCCATGAATGTTGTGGCATAGAGATGGAAAGAGAAGTGAGCCGGTCCAGGCACGTGCTGGACATAATTTTCAGAGCAGTTGGCGCAGACTCGTGTAAAATGAACGTATTCAACTTTGGTAAGAGCCGATGTGAAATTAGACTCCGTTCCAGGAAGGGATGGTTTGGACATGTAGATGTCCGTACCCCGAGCTTTTCAACCTCGTTCCAAACCTCAAGACCGTGTTCCAAAAGTTCCTCCCAACAGCTGACAGCACAGCTGACAAACTGTTTAGGGTCCAACCAAGGTAATAATGAGGAGGCACGGGTGACACTTAACCCCGCAACCTCGATGAACGGGTGGGATGGTGAGCGCAGAACCAATTTAAAGTGGGTGGTTTGATGACCCTCGAAGTTTAAATAAAGGCGGGAAATATTGCGTCTGGAGAGAAGTTGAGCGAATGCCATAACAGTATCTGTAACCCGTGAGTTGCAAGTAGCCCCCTCCAAATTGATCGAGAGCACTTGTAAATTAGGGAAAAGTAAATCAGGAGATGGGGAATCCGCGAGAGACTGTACGACTTTTGCGTCAACTGGAAGACCACTCGAACTGATGTAAAGGCTTCGCGCTTTGCGGGTATATCGCTCGATAACCCTCCAGTCCACGTCACTCAAGGGACGAATGATGGTTTGCTGTTACATATTTGTCAGCTTGATATCAAGACGGGCTCAGCGTATACACTCACAGTTGTTTTCTTGGTTGCATCATCAACTACTTCACCGACACATGACAGCAATGGGTAAAGGGAATCAATACCATAGAACGTTCGCCAGAGGAGATCCGTCGCTGGTTCATTGAAATTGCGACAAGTCTGAGCTAGTAAACGTAGTCGGGCGTTGTCAACAAAGGAGAAAATATGGCGAATGATTTCGTCGATCTGGAGACAGTGATGCATGTAGTGTAAGTTGCGGAATGAGATATTCGAGCTAACGGTGAGTCCTATCAAGGACACAGAGGGGGAAACGATACGATGCCATTTTCCCCTCAATATTGTATGGCTGACTCGGAGTTCGAGTTAGTTCCCCTATACGATTGGAAATTCGAGAGAGCTCGTTTGGCAAACAGGTTCGCCCATTCATGGACGTCATTGCACGGACGACAGTAATGAAATCAAAATGCACGAGAGTTAGACCATTGTAGTAACCGCCCGATGGATGATGCTGCGCTGCCGCCATCAAGCGCCAAGCTAATTACCTAGTCAGCAGGTCCGGTCGCACACCAGTGGACCAGAGTGGACCTTGCCAAAAAGTACTCGCAGAATCTTCCGCTGCGATGTAATCAAAACGTGAGGTGGAGCAAGATGACGAAGCTTCTCAGCCGCACCCCGGGTTGTCCGTCGTTCTGCTCGCTGATCGAATTTTATTTTATTCAACCCATTCACACGTCTAGTAGGACTCACTGTCATGGTCGTTGTCGCGGCTCGACCCACCGTCAAGCTTGGATGACTGCCTGGATTCGGTGTCGACTCCTCAAGGTAGCGGACATAAGTTTGAGGTGATGATGGGCTCAAGACGAGCTGGACCTGAGCTACATAGGGCCGAAGCCATATTATGTATGGTGTAAACCTACTCAACAAATGACCTCGAGATAGTCAACATCTGCACTCTGTACATCCTACAAAGTTGGCTTCGTCCACGGCGATATCGTGACGGGGTTCCATGAGGTGCTCTCGATGGCACGACCTCTTGTTTGGATGACGTAGCTTGACTCAAGCTCATGGAATAGATGTGTTATCTTCGTATTTTATCATCGAGTGCTTGCGGAGGGGTGCGGTGCTGGTCTAATCGACCTTAATGGGAGTGATGCCTGGCATATTAGACAGATATGAGCTAAGTTTGAGTGACACCAAATTTATGAATCTTGTGATGGCGGCAAGGCACGGCGACTGCTCCACTGATGACCTGGGAGCAATTCGAGCCATGCCATCTGGCAGGGCTGTGCTTTGATGAGAGCGCCCGAGTCCAACTTTTTCCCTCTTCCAACTCGTCCATGAGTGCCAGTTGGTGAGCTCGTGTTGTCGACTTGCTGCTGGTAGGTTGCCTCGCCTCCTCTCTCTCAAACTATCGTGCCCGGTAATGAACGTTCATTGGCTCATCGAAACCTAAAGTTTAACCACGCGGTGCCCACATTCTTAGAGTCGGTCGGAATAGTAGCTGCTCTCAATTCTCACTTCCTTCACTTGCGGTCCCTCTTAATTCGCGTTCTATCCAAGTGTTGACCCACCGACTGACTGCAAACCACCGTGAACTAACGAAACGTATCGCTAACCCGTCATGTCCAACGTTAGGATGTAAGTTCATCGACTCGACCCATTTGCCCGACCGACCATCTCTGTACTCCAGTGCCCTCCAACCCCCTCCCAACGTCGACTTTGTAGTGGGTACGTTTCAAGTTCATTGGTGCAACGCAGCCTCGAGATTGGCTTGGTCTGATTGATGTTTTTGTGACAATATGTAGGTTATCCCGGAATACCACCGGGCGCTCGAGATCGCCCACAGGCCGCCGTCAAAGGTGTACGTTCCCGCTTTCGTCCTTGAACTGAATACCATGCTCATCCGATGTTTCGATTGGGTACTTTTATGGCATAATTTGAACCATGACTACCTCTTCGCGACTTACCTCCTTTCCGCTACTCCTTGAATCCCGTCCTCAATCAGGCCGTCGAAGTTCGTGTCGGACCGCAGGGAGCCAAAGCAAAATGGGTAAAAGTCGAACTCAAGAAGATAGAGACACTCCCAGGTGGTGGTCAAGCCAACTCCTATTACGATCATATCGGCTCCAGCCCAATCATCCTCTGGCAATCTAGTGAAGAGTACAGCATGCTGCAATCTGTGAGTCTTCTCGTTTGCCAACCCCTTCCTTCGTGTTTTCCTCCCGCCGTACAGGCATTCGTTGTACTGCGGCGTTTGAGGTTAGATCGGCGATTCGCCTTGTCCGGTTTACGTTAGGGTGCGGATTACTGAGCCACACCCATGGACTGCCCAAATATCCGATTCTGCGCTTGGGCTGCTGGTTGAACTGGTGAAGTACTGACACACGCATCCTTTTCATTTGACAGCAAGATTTCCCGTTCTTGATTCGGATACCTGAGTCGATACCACCAAGTATTGCACTCGAAAAAGGGGGTAAGCGACACTCTACATTACCTGGTCTGCGTGTATGCTGCGGCTGACCCTATGTTTTTTCTCCAGCCGGCATTCGATATGAGCTCGTGGCGACTGCATGCACTCTTGGTAAAAAGTGTGTGCTCACATCGCCTACGTAAAAACACTCGAATTGATCTCACCCTCAGGGGCTTCTTCCGCCGCCGCAAGACTACAGTCGTCTCACAAGCAGCGACGATTATCATCGACAAGCACGAACTGCATTCTACATGGCCAGTCTACTCCCAAGCTGAATCCCGTTCGGTACTCCAAGACGGCGTCCGTCTTACTGTCGAACGTAGGCAGACGTGCTATGGTCCCGGCGATCGCGTCTCCATCACAGCCATCCTCCGACCCGAAACTGTGCAACCGGTCATACTACGCGGATTCGAGTTCACCCTGAGAGAGACGACGGTGTTCAGGGCGGGTCCACATGCATCAGGGGCTAGTGGCGGTGGCGCGAACAAACGAACTGGTCCGCAAGTTCGTGTTACGACTATTGGCGAGCAGAAAGTTCCGTTGAGCGCGACAATACATAATGGGTCACAACATAAAGCCGAGTTGGGGTGTTTGATTCCTAATACGCATACCACGACGTCGTTGAACGCAGCGAGGCATATTGATATTACATATGTCATCATTGTTCGGGCATGGACCGGAGGAGCATCGCAGAGCGTGGCGATGGAGTTACCGGTCATCGTGTCGAATTGGCCTAGGTGAGTGGTTCTCTATGGCTCGGCCGTTGCTTCGAGTTGACCCACCGATTGGTTATAGGAATGTGTCAGAAGAGGCTATCAGGTTAGTCCATCCTCTATCGCTGATTATGCTCATGGACTCACGTTGTGTTCGACATAGACGCATCGGCCCTGCGCCTAGCCTTTGCATGACCTCCCCATCTAGTACGGCACCCACCGTTCCGATCACGTCGACTACGCCACACCACAACCTATCTAGTGGTTTCTCAGGGGTGCAGGATCACACTTTCTCGTCGGCTCCAGCAGGAGGGACAGCCGGACGCGGCTCTCTCCTCCCACCTCGTCAACACGTCCAATACAGTTCCGCGCCTATTGGACACAACGGAAATGTACGGCGTGATGCCCAACTCGAGGTCGATGAACTAGGGGGGTTGATGTATGGCCGTAGAGGATCAAACACGACTGTTGACCATCCCGGGTTTGGCGTTGGTAACGGCGCCGGTCAGCAGTCTGGAATGGCTCGTATTGAGGAGGACGTCGCAAACTTGACCGCGGGTGCCGATATTACAACTCGACCTTCGTTCACGGGCTCCGTTGGGGCTCCTCAGCATAGACGTCGGCCGAGTGCGACGGGTAGCCAAGCGGGGCATCATCAGAACCGGCTCACCATTACGAATTATAGCGAAAGAGAGGCAGAGGCACTTGCGGCTGAGAACATGAACCTGGACTCGTCGGGCGGGGGCGGTACTAGTAGCAGCGTTAGTGGTAGTAGGCCGGGGCCGAGGCCGTCGTCGGGACCGCGCGGTCAATGGCCGACTGCAGAAGATGAAAAGACGCAATTGTACGAGAGTGCCGTGGCCAGAGTTCAGAAAGTGCAGGGAGCTGCTGCTGCCATGGCGAACGGAGCACAATCGCAGGATGACGTGAGTGCGGCCCAGCTTTTATTAAGTCACGCATTGTTTGACTGATGCGATTTGATAGTCCCTCCAGCCCACTTCTACGAACGTGACGCCAAAGAAGTCCGCGACGTCTTGGCCGACGGCCGAGGAAGAGAAGATGCGGCTATACGATCAAGCACAGGCAATTGCCAAACGAACGCAGGCCCTTGGAACGTACTCGCCATCTCTCCACAGTCGTACAAGCTCTGAAGCCAACGGTCTTCCGCGTGCTAATTCGCCCTCGCGTGGAGCGAATGGCGGGATGCATACTGCTGCAGCAAGTCCCAGTGTAACAATGTCAGCGGGAGCAGTGCTCTACCAATCTGCGCTATCCTCGATGAACTCCAAACCATCTAATTCAAACTTACGTAACGCACGCACGTCGCCCGGGCCACAACAGACCACGACAGTGTCGAGCACGCGTCATGTGCCGCAGTACCCAACTGCAGAGGAAGAAAAGGCGGCGTTGAGGCGGTACCACGAAGCCAAGCTTGCTGTAGATCGAAGCCAGAACACACAATATGCTTCCAAGGAGGGTATCGTCACTCCTGCTCCGGTATCGTATGACACGCTGTACCCACAAGGTGCTTCATCTTCATCTTGCGGACCGGTAGCGAGCTCGAGTCATGCTGGACCCGTAGACGAATTGCCGCCTCCATTCGACGCTTCTGGAAGTCGTCAACAGGAGTATCTGACAGAGAAGGAAAGAATGAGAAGACATTACGAGGCACTAGATGCTGGATCGCTTGGAAGTCCTCCTCCAGGACAGGCAACCTCTAATCAGACTTCCTCGCCGGCTTATCCAACATCGGTACCGCCGTACGCTGCGCCCCCCTCGGTGGAAAGCGAACTGCCTGAGAAAGAGATTTTACGCAGACGGTACGCGGAGCAAGACGCTGCTGCGCTTTCTCAGCAGCAATCGTCACCGGAAGGTTATCAACCCCCTCTTTCGCCTCCCCCACGTGTTAATGGGACGCGTGCCCAGCCTGTTCCCCCCATCGTGAATGGAACCAGACCGCTGACAGCAGCAGAAGAGAAAGCTCAGCTGAAAGCCAAGTACGAAGCGGAAGCGAGAGGGTCGAATAACAATAGCAGTACGAACGGACATGGGCTGATTAACAGCAGCTACACGTCTACATCATATCATCCCTACGCCAATGGCGGCGCATCACGGGGCTCCCCACCGCCCTTGATGCCCCGACCCCCGGTAGAATACATTCAAGAAACCCAAGAAGAAGACTTACGTGGACGATATTACGATAGTGTCGGCGTCGAGGAAGCTCTACGAGGCATCCCGGCGATGCGTCCGATATCTCCCATGCGGAACCCACACCTTGATGTCCGTCCTTTTTCCCCATTTGACGTGGGGCTTGGCTACGATGCGACAAATTCCCCGCGCTCGCCGCGTCCACCACCCCAGCATTGAGTTTGATGCACTCTGTATATGCCTTATTTCTTTTCCGTTGTTCTTTTTTACTTCTTTATTCTCCCTCTCCTTATTCGATTGTTTTGTTACTTGCAGTTTTCCTGTCTCTTTTAACCTTGTCTCTAATTTTTCTACTCTGCTGCACGTTCCTTACCTTGGATATATATATACCAGTTTTGCTACATAACGTTAGCGATAAATGCCTGTTCCAGTTGGGTTCATTTGTTCCTCAATCGCGCTGAAGCGTGAAGCTCGGGGGTGGTATAGTTGTTGAATTCTGCGATGAGTAGGACTTCGATCAGCTTCAAAATAAAGACGTCAACGCCGAGCTGTCACGAATCCCCTGCGAAGGACGTCTCCGTAACTTCAGTACACTTTCATGCAGCTGCCAATTTGAACCGTTGCGTGTGTTCGGTACAATACAATGTGAGAAAGCGGGCGTCGCCAAAAAAGAGGAATCACTACAGTACTACATAAGACAGGGGAAAGCTGTAAAATAACACTACATGCATACCATAACTCGACATATTTGTGTTTGGTGATTGGCAGGTGAAACTTGAGATCTTGAGAGCTTGATGCGGCATGGCCAGACCAGATGGGTCGGAACAGGACCAACACGCACCATTCTGATTCCCTCACTCTCCTTCTCCACCGAATCTACCGACCACTCGTCCAGCTGAACCCAACCTTTCATTTTCTTCCAAGTTTTTTCCCCTCTCACTCGTACATGCGTCGATCTGCTTGCATACCCCACTCAGCCTCACACTCGGTATTCCCCTCGTCAAAGCCAAATTCACCTCTTCCGTTTTGTTTTGTTAGTTCCTGCAGACGTGGGACCATTCACCGCCGTCGGTTGTGCGGGCACAACGTCATACACATCTCCGGCATCCGCAGCCTCGGATTTGCGTTTCCGACCACGACCGCCCGCCCCCGGTGGACCGGTAGCGGGACCACCGATATTCGCATTCGGTGCTGGGGGAGAAGCTTGGATTTGCAAAGGCGAGTGGTGTATAGAGGTACGGTTGGGGTTTTGGTGAGGGGGAACGGCAACAGGCATGCGGATCGAAGGGGGTATGGCCACGATATCACCGCCATCTTGAGAGGCTACTTCATCCAAAAATGCATGTAGCTGCTCAGAAGAAGCTCCGGCTATTTTTGACTGGGGTTCCCTCGCTGTTGCTGCAGCTGCGACAGATGGATCTAAACGTTCAGCCAGACGATCAAAATCCGTATCCTCGTCGTTCGTGCGGGGCATGTCCATCAGGAACGCGTCAAAATCGAAGTCCGGAGCAGCAAACATGTCAATGTCACCAGTAGTATTTCCTCCCACTGCGCTGTCATTGCCACCTAAGGCGCTACCATCGCCACCTCCTCTGTCGGGAGGGTTGCCGCTCACTCCGTCCGCATGGTTAGGATTCGTGACGTCGAGCGAGGTAGGGTCGATTCCGAGCGTTTGAATGAACGAGTTGATGTTGGACTGGAGTTCGTCTACGTCACTGCTAATCTCATCTGTGGTGCGATACGTCTTTTGAAGACGTTCTTCGTGCTTTTCGAATGGCACGAGTTGATCGGCGTCTGAGGCACCTCCCAGAAGTGAAAGTGTAAAAGGCGAAGGGACATCGGTGGGTGCAGTTACTTCGAAGGAAGGAGTACACGAATGATTGTCGGTATGCATGTCCATGCCTGCGTTGACGCCGTTACCAAAGTGGAGACCGTCGTATGGTCCGATCAGCTGTTGCTGGTTCTGCGGGCTGAGCTGGTGCGGGAACATATCATTTGGGATGGATTGGTTCTGAAGTGCGAGAAGGAGTTTCTGCATTTGGGATGGTGAGTTGAGGACTTGAGTCAATGCAGCTTGGACTATGGCATCATTGTTGTTTTGCGGAGTTTGTTGCTGGGCAGCGGTCGTAAGGGAGTTGGAGCTCGGAAGCACGTTGCTGGAAGTATGGAGACTGTCGTGAGTTTGTAGTTGCTGAGGCCTGGGTTGGGATCTTGAATCAGTGGGAGTGGGTGCGTCATTCACAGACGGTTCAATGGAAGCGAATCTAGGGGATGCGAAAGACTCTGAGGGAGCAGTTTTCGGCGTGTCCATGGACCCAAAGAGACCTAAGGCACAAAATGTCAGACTGAACGCGCATATACACGCGCATTGGTGTACGTACTCATAGACGGTGACTGAGTAGGACGGCCTTCATCTTCAGATACATCACTGATCTCAACACCCCCCTTTCCATTCTTACCGTCTCCGATCATCAATCTCTGGGGTTTCCTTGGAACAACAGCATGCGTTCCCCCATGTCCACCATCGTTCTTGCGCATCTGTCCCGCATGACCGAATACGCCAGCCAAGAATTTGACAATACGGTTGATGGTATCTTGGTGCTTCTTGTGTCGTTCACGAGTAATCATGGCTTCCTGCCACAAATGCTGATTAGAGGTCTTGAGTTCGTTGAGGTCAGCTGAGATGGCAGCTTGGTGACGCTTGATGGCCTGAATACCATTGACGATGGAATTGATATCGAGGAGTTGATTCTGAGAAAGACCAACAGTACCCCCAGCACTATCCCTGCTCGAAGTCGCATGTGCGTTGCTATCTTCGCTGGCGTTCATCGCCGACTGTGCTTGTTTCTTACGCTGAATGAGACAAAGCATGTCGGGTTGCCCGCGAATGAAATGGGGGTGTTCAAAGTTCCAAAACTCGGTCTCATTCTCGGAGCGAAGCACGCCTTGTTGGAGATGGGGGATCTTGTGAAAGCCGTACATGTTAAGCTGGCGTACAAAGGAACTGAAGTTTTTGTGCTTGAACCAGCGCCCGAGCACTTCACTCGAGAAGCGTTCTTGGTCAAGGACTGAATGTGGTGGTCATCGCGTATACGAAAAGCGCCAAGATAACGAGGTTGACAGGGAGGACGTACCGAAAAAAGAGTCGCCCGTGTCAGACCACCGTATTAGATCGTGGTCTGCTGGATCGTTTACCATCCTAATCATAGCAGATGAGTTCACGAAGTTGCATAGGAGATGAGATAGAAGCTGTACTCGTATAGCTTCTGTAGGAAGGCAGGAACAAGCTGGCGTGCGGGTTTGTTGAGATGAGATGAACTCGACCGTGGTGCCACTGCAAGCGACGTTTGTGGGTCGGCTGAAACCGACGCTGCTGCTGCCATCGTCGACGTCGTCTTCGTTGTCGGTTGATTCGAGCTTTTGCCTCTGTCGTTGTCGAACAAGATGCGTGGCCACACCAAATAGGCATCAATACCGAAATGGGAACCCTAAACTGGGGATGGCGTCATCCGATGTCCAGACCACTATTACGACGTCAACGATCTCTATGAGAAGGGGCCATGTGCACCCGCATTGCAGATACACTATTAGCGTATTACATGTCCGGGCCAGATTATCGATCCAATTCAATCCAACCGCATGCTTACATGTCAGAAATTCCCAGCTGCCTCATCTTCATATCAATCTCCTCGCGTAACATCACGATCCGACCATCCAACCGCGACGACAAATCCATCTCTCGCGTACACAGCGCATGGGCGTGTGCAAGAGCGTCCTTTCCACTCTTTATCGCGCGTTTCCAAACTTCCAGTACCGTTTCATCTTCCGCGGGATTCCCCTCACTCATCGCGGCAGATCTCCGTTCACCTTCCTTCATATCCAATACAGCCAGCTCGAAATGACTCACCCCACCAACCCAACTATTCACATCTACATTCTGATAGTGTTTCAGTGCATCGCGGAGCAGCTTCCGCGCACCGGCGTAGTCACCCAAAGTCCGGTGCAAGATTCCCAAAATAAGTGAACGCACTGCCAACTCGTCTGGTGTGTCCAGGTCGAGAAGACTCCCTAACTGGAGCGTGCTCGACGGAGGCGTCATATACTCGGTCTGTATGTCCACAGGCGGTGTGAGCGCTGTCAACTCTTCGATATGCGCCAAAGCCGTTTCCATATCGGCATGTGCATGCGTATTCCACGCTACATCGGAAATAGCGTCAGCTGCCTGATTCGCTATCTCCATCACCATTACGAACCGACAGCAAGCTCTACAGAAACGTAATTTGGTCAGCAGGTTCATGCATACAATACACGATATATCGACTCCACCTTCTGCAGGGCTAATTTTCATGGATTCTGCGAATCGCTTGGGATCTCCACCGCGACGAGCATGCTTTTTCTTGTAAAACGCGACTACGAGCGTGATCAGGCCATGGCTAGGAGGTAGTTTGTGCGACACACGTTTCTTCTTGATAAACACTTCTGTGGGCATGTTCCTACTTCTTCGTTTGTCCATGATTTCTGAGAGCGCATCCAACAGTCTTTGAGCCTTGTCACATTGTCTCATGGATATATAGCACCCTGGAGAATATCACAGTTACTACCTACTCAATATGCAGTCAACTAGGACACACCAGCAGCGAGAAAGTGATAAGTCGCATGACTCCTGAAACCGCGTGAAGTCAACCCTGTATGCGACGGGCTAATAAGCACTCCAGCCCACCAACTGTTCATCTTCGTAACATCCATAAACTTTTGTGCACTTTCTTCATATCGTCTACGCTGAAACAGTACCCACGCTAGTTCAAAGGCCAACTACGCGTCACATACAATACCACGGTGTGTCAGACCTGCACGTGCTCACGCAGAATGAAAGGGAGCGACCGTACCAATGCATCGGCTTGCGGGAACGATTTTTGTCGGTCATCTTGCAGGCCCTCTTGAAGTGTAACAATAGCCCCCTCCGAATCACCTGTCACACGTTGGATCTTGGCCTGCGATAATGTGTCCTATGATGAAAACAGATAATAACCAACAGATCGCGACTTACTTTATTGAGTATCCACAAAGACCCTTTAGGATATCGCTGCGATACCCTGACATAATACGATCAGACCACCAAACGATGCATATCTACAAGAGAGACGTGCCTCCTTACAATGCCCCAGTATTGATCTATGATGTGCTTTTCGTCTGCTTGATATCCGGAGGCGAGTAGCAGGACACCATAGTAGGTCATCAACACCAACCTAACATATGGATACAGTCAACCCCAGAAGTAGACGACTTAAAAGAATTGTCTCATGACCAGGATCAAATTTTCCAAGCCTCCAGTACCACCCAAACAACATACGTTCCAGTTGAAATGGATAAAGAAAGGAACTGACCCTGAAAAGACGGCATGCACGTCTGTGCGTGCAGCAGACACTGCAAGCGCTTTGAGCGCCAGTTGCCTGTCATGACTATACCCAAGAAATCCGACCACGTTTCTACATCCCACAGTGCATAGTCATCAGTCCAATCCATCCGATCCAGTTATCGCCCGCCCAGGTTGCGCACTTCAACGCAAATACGTACCTCATCTTCGCAGGTAATAAAGACAAGACTAAATTGAATAGTCCATAGCCTAAGAAAGAATAGAAATTTCCTTAGAGGAAGGGGAATCAAAAACAGGCGAAGAGATGCCCACCAAATGCTGCTCCTGACAATATGAATTCTTCGACAGGTCCATGGGCAGGGTTGGTGATGGTACCGAGGACAGGCGTGGGAGTAGTCAGTGCCCCCAATCCCATCCACCGAGTGAAGAATCCAGACGTCCGAACAGGGATATCAGTGTTCATCTTAGAGTATTGTAAACTCGCCTCTGAAGGCTTGCGGGATACTGCAGGTGTTGATTGGCTTGGCGTCGCGTATGCATCTAATCCGTTGGGGTATAGTGTTTTAAATAACCTGGTGTCCGGGTCATTACTTCACGACGATCGAACAACTCGGAAGGACTTGCTTATTGAATTTCGAGTGTGCGCTAAAAGAGAGGCCAAGTGTGAGAATAGAAATCGGAAGGAGGACGGACCAGGTGAAAGGGCTTGCCTGTTAAGTTCATACCTGGAACAATTTCAGCGTGAGCCATGAGGCGCATGATCAAGGGACGAGGACTGACAAACACTGGAGGTATCCCTTGTACGATTCGCTGTATGCAGTAAATAAGTGCATCGAAGTGGTTGCTTGCTGGACGCGGATCGGGTTCGGGGGGAGAGGAAGATTACGAGTGAAAAATACCACATACGAGAGTGCATGAGTGAGCCCAAGGAGAATGATGGTGTCGGTGTGGAGGACATCCCATTCGAGGCCCGGTTGGAAACGATGACTCGAGGTGGATGATTTTGCAAGCTTCATGTGTTTCCTCGCGCCTTGTTCAGCCAAGATCAAGCACTTCGCGGCATCCTCCATGAGTTCGGGCTTCACAGGGGAAGGGTTGAGTGCAAGTTGGCATTCGTCAAGGAGATAATATGAACTGGACGGACCTCCATACCCAGTGCGGCCTTCAAGAATGCACATACGCCGAGTCCCACGAGGTGAAATGGTGAATTTTCCTGACTCTCCGCGACAAAGACGTTGACGGCAGCTTCCAGATCATTTGCGAAGAGTAAATCAAAGCCTTGAGCTGCGAGACGGAGCATCTCTTCGGTGTCATCTGCGGAAGCCATCTCTGTCTTGAATATGTCAGTCGCCTAGCCTAGAGATTCGTGAGTCAGTCAGTAACTTGTCAAAACGCTGGACTGTCTCCGCCCCTGCCCCTGCCTGTGCCTCTGCCACTGCTGGCACGCATTTACAGAGACCCGAATTCCGACAGCAGCAACATATGCCAAGCCAAGGTCAATACAACGACCGAGGCCACTATGATCAATATATTTCGTGACTATAAGCCAGGTTACAGCCAGTTGCCCAAGCAGCTCAAGAATACAATCAATTGGTGATTCATATATTCAAGGGAAAACAGGAAAAATTGCCGATAGTCATCGAGTACATATTCTGCTAATGTTGCTCAGTTCATTACTAAACTAATGGGTCGATGAGGGGCGCCTTCAACCCCTCCACCCGAATTTGGGCACCCATATCTTCGAAAAACGCACAAAGCCAAGTGATTCAAATGCTTTCTCTCATATCATGGAACATCGACGCCTTCTCCTCACGGGCCATCTCACGGGCAAAACTCATCCTTGGCCATATCCTCAAGGGACCGAAATCTCCTGATATCATCTTTCTCCAAGAAGTCACGCCCGACGTCCGCACCTCTCTCCTGAGGGATGCGAGAGTGCGTGTTACCTTCCTGGTGACTGACACCGAGGACCAAACGTTGTTTGAGAAAGTACCCTTTGCAACCATGACGTTGCTGTCCCGCACGCACTTTACCTCTGGCCTGGATTCGCAGAAGGAAGACGATGGGATCGAAGGAGGGGAAAAGTTCATGCTCGGGCGCATCTCCCGAGTGACACTCCCAAGCAAGTACAGGAGGGATGCGCTTTGTGTGGACATTATCCCCCCAAGTGCGCCGGGCACATTCTTCCGTCTCATCAACGTGCACCTTGACTCGCTCGGGGATACGCTACATTACCGCGCCCAGCAAATGGAGATACTGGCCAACACCCTGTGCGAGCCCGGATGCGGTGGCGGGATCATTGCGGGTGACTTCAATGCCATCAGCCCCGAGGATGATGGGCTTGTCGACAAGAACAAACTGGAAGATGCGTGGGTCGCATTGCATGGGAGGGGAGACCTTGATGGAGCTACGTGGGGTGTCAGCGTGGAACGGCGGGACGGACTGGGGCCAGGTGACGGATGAGAAGGGGATTTGGCGTGCTGAGAGATGCAAGGATAGGTGAAAGGAGATGCTGTGTGACGTGATCGTCAGCAGTTGCGGTGGGCTGGCGAGCGGGGGCCACATCCACTTGGTATACGAGATCGAGACCATTGAAATAGGACTTCTCTGTCTCGTAGAACTCTGTGACAACCCTGACTCGTCTCGCATCTCTCGCTTCGTCTGATGAAGTACGTCGATGCACGCGCCTTGTCCTCGTTCTACGCTGTGGCGGTAGCTGGGACGAGATGACGGAAGCACGGTGAGGGGCGGGTGCTGAGGCTGCGAGGAGAGAGATGCGTCGGAAGGGGAGGTAGACGAGGGGAGAGGAGAGACCTAACCCTAACCCTAACTGGCCATGGCATGCGGGGAGAAGGAGGAGGCGAGGACATCATCGCATTGAAATCAGTCAAGGCCAAGGATGGAAAGCACGAGTGCACGTAACATCGCTTCTTGTCTCTGGTTGGTACATGGCAGAGGTGGTGACAAAACGACTGCACATCTCCGGACTCACACCGTCCATCACCTCCTCTGACATCCACCGCAGGCTCTCCGCCTTTGGGTCAGTCACGTCCTTGGATGGATTCGGACAATTAGATGCACTGGGTGACCCGAGACCATTTGCATATGCCACGTTGGAGGGCAAGGAAAAGGATATCGCTAAATGTACAGAGGTGTCTCGTTCGAATGACTCTTGCTCATCCTGACTCTGTCTTGTTCACAGGTATGAATGTGCTCAGTGGGTCCACATGGAAGGGAACAAAATTGCGTATTGGAGAGGCAAAACCAGATTATCACCAGCGGTACATCTCCCACCCTTTTGTCGATCTATTCCTCCTCCTCACCCTATACTCTCAGCATCGCCTATCTGAACTCCCTTTCACCTCCTCCACCTCGTACTCCCCGCTCAAAAAGATGCCAGCTCGCCTTCCCATCCACCACACTGCCACTCGATACACCCCTCTCCCGTAATGACGCAGCGAAAGCACCAGGTTGGGTCGTTTTACCTTCTGGAAGGGTTGTTAGACCTATGAGGATGAGGCCTCTGCGACCCTTGGAACCGACACGAGCTATGGGAGGTTGGCAGGGAACTCGGGGAAAGACGGGTAAGAAGGCGAAGAAGAAAAAGGTCCCGCCGTTATGGGCACGTAGACGCTTGATCGACCCAACAAAATGGGACTCGACCTATCTGACAGGCGCGTTTTTGGAAACTGCTCGTCATCCCCTCTGTTTCTTCTCTTCCTTTTGGGTCTGCAGCCCAGCCCACCGAGCCTCGAGTCTGACGAAGAGGAATGCAATGGTGAATACAGTCCCCTCTCAAAATTCTTCCAACATCATCCTTGAAGGTCAACCACCTTCACAAACCACTCCCACTCCCACTGCCAACTTCTCCGACCCTAGATTTGGCACAGACGTTAACATCGACATCCGCAAAGAAACATCCGCTGCAGCTTACGCTCCTCAACAGCGATATTCGGAGAGACGGATGAGTGGGGCGGACGCGAGAGCGTTGACGAATTTGGCGGTATAGATGATGGTCCCGGTGATCATTCCGCAATGGTCGTTGATGCGGGTGTGGGTGAAGTAGGTGAAGGCGAGATTGAAGAGGTGCCTCGGCACGCCTCCTCCAGGGAGGGGGACGCGCGAATAAATCCAGTCGATAAGGTGTCCAGCAATGAGGAACAAAGGGAAGATATACAAATGGGAGACTCGCACCCGACCACCGCTCATCTACCCGCGACTGCTACTGGTACCACAGCGACTTCGAAAGCGGACACCGCCAGCGCGACTGGACCGACGAAGATGAAATTGAAAGACTTGTTTGCACCGAGAGAAGAAGAGCGTAAGTACCCCTTCCCCATTGTTTGGTAGACTATATTATGTTCGCTTTTCGTCTTGGCCTTGATTGTTATTTTACAAACCTCCCCGTATTTTCAGATTATCGATCCTTTTTTCCTGTTCCTTCTACAAATCGCTCTTGTTTCATATGGTATAAGATCTAAAATGAAATCTGCAGCGTCTTTCTCCCTCCTCGGCCATCTCGATCTCGATTTGGAGCTCGAGGACGATGTACTCGGTTGTTCATCTGTCCCCACCACAGCACTACCCTCCACGCTTGTAACCACATCAAGTTCAGAACCGTTCTCCAGCTCAAATTGGAACCAGGAGGTAAAAAGGCTTGGACGCGAAGGGAGCGCTGTCATCACTCCAGACTCTACCCGGCGACTTCTCTTTCCCCTTGTCGAATCATTACCCTACTCCAATTCTGGTGCACGAATCTCAATCTCAAAACAGGTGCGTACACACGCGAGAAGTGATACTTGGTCCGTCGTCTTTCCACGTTCCCAAGTAAATGTTGGCACTCCACAAGACCAGAGTAATCCACCTCCACTCTCTGGCACAGGGCGGAAATTCGAGAGGTCCCCTGACACTACGGAACAGTTTATACGCGAGGCATGGGAAAGGGATAAGAGCGAGGTGACGAGCGCGTGGAAAAAGGCATGGAAGGAAGCGAAGGGGAGGAAGAGGGGATGTGCTGCCGCTGATGGAATGGACGTGTAGGGAGGATCATCTATAGGCTCTGTTGATGTCACTCCCCGCATTCCGTGAACACCGTGGCATATGACCCATATCCCGCAGGTAAGCTGATATATATTTTTGAAGAGAAGGATGGTAGGTCGTGCTCCTTGGTACAGAGCCCCACAAGCAAGCATTTGTCCAACAGTACGACACGTATTGTCGTTGTTCCCTCACATCCTTCGGTCTAAGGCGATACCAGAAACCAGCGCAAGGTCAGTCATTTCACATCCAAAATATGTACAGTAGAGGCACGCAGGACCATCCATCGCGAAGAAACTATGCAAATATCCACGTTATAACCGCTAGCTGCCTCGTCCAAGTCTTCGATCTATTTTTCATCGCAGCACCAACACGCATGAATTCAGGGGAACTCCGCGGGCCGGTCGAACAAAATTTTCTGATTCGGACATCACCTAACACGATGCGGTATTACTCGAATACATACCAATCACTTAGCGGCGTAATAGTAGCTAATTGGTATGATCCCCTTTCACCTCTTAGATGTCAATCCTGTCGATATAGTCACCAGATGCTTGTTCCAGTTCCTCTTCGATTTGTGCCCTGAGCCGGTCAATGGTTCCCTGGTCCGCGCAAGCCTCAACAATTCCTAATCAATACACTGCATCAATTGCGTTTTACATCCAACGGTAGTAGGACGTACCTTTCCTGGCAACGAATTCGATATGCGCGATGTTGGTGTTAAGATAATCTTCCACTTCGACATTGCAACTGAACATGAACCCGGAATAGCGCAGTTTGAGGACTCCGTCTTCGACCCTTTGAAAAAACCATGATCAAAACTGATAATCCGCAACTTTTTAGAGAACGTACGACGCAGTGCTAACCCCTAGTAACCCACGGCTCTTACGGACCGTGAACCTGCGAAAGAATTCCCTGTGACCTGATTGATTCCGGATGATGTCGAGCCCGTGGATGACAAGATCCTTTTCCTCTTGGGTGTAGAGTGGGTCGTTCCTAATGTTGTCGATGACAAAATCACAGAATGTCCCAATGTCGGAGGTTGTATCCTCCAAAGAGAGATCCGACTGCCTGCAGGTAAGTAAATGAGTTGGAGTCACGGCCTTCATGATAAGTTCTCTCACTCGTCTCTGATCTTTTCCCATCCGATACTGAAGAGGCAATTCATGTATTCATCCCAGAATCTCTCAAAACCTTCGTCCTCTGTTGTCTCCTGCAGGGCGACGTGGGTGGCATACTCAAGGCTGTTAGCTACATCTCTCTGAACAATTTCAGTTTTCTACAGAATTTAGTTAAACGCGTTGCGTACCCTGTTCTGCTCGGTCAGATTGTCCAGCACGGACAACAAGGTACCCCCGATGATAGCAGCTTCAGGTCCACTTGACCTCCCAAAAGGCTTTATACGAACTACTGGAGCGTCGAGATCATGGTGACATACCGATACCAACACTGACTTACATTCCTTTCTTCCGGTTACTACGTCATTTAGACTGGGGATACACCCGGCATTGTCAATGCCAGCTGTGGTCGGTTAAGACTCCTACGCGGTTTGAGTTGCCAGGAATCCCTTACGGTCAGTAATGTGAATGTCGGGCATGGTCATTTGCAGGATTACACGTCACGGACTGAGGCTAAATGCCTTCCACCTTCCAGATAGAGAGAGAGAGAGAGAATCGAGGGGATTGGCGCGCAGCTCGAAAAGCTGGTATATATTACATCCATGATTGCCCGCTTAACAGGGGTCGTTTTCCCGAATTGTTCAGCACCACAAAATGCTTCAAGCCGCAAGTGGCGATTGGCTCCCGGTACCTATTGACATATCGCCGCTCTATTGTGTGGCGAGGAAACGAGCCATGGGTGTAGATTACTATTTATTAATATGTTCTCTTGTCTTTCGGCTGCTAACCCTGCTTGAGCAATCGCTTTAACGTTCAAGCTCTCCCCAAAGTCGTATTATTGTGGAGCAAGTGAATGTGCCACTCATCAATTACTGCACAACGTACTCGGCTACGGGATGCCTAGACTCGTGCCACCTATTACTGAACTCCATAGCCATGCTCTTAACCAAGAGAGACCAGCAAAATTGCCACATCACATCAGCACACTTTAAACTTTCACGAATACAATCGAGACACAAGTACAAATCGCCAAAAAGCAACCACTCAGATATCCACATTGTCGATATAATCACCAGCCGCCTGGTTCAATTTATCTTCGATTTGCTGCCTGACCGCGTCGATGGTTCTCTGATTCGCAGCAGCCTCCACGTTATCTGTGACATAATAAATGTGTTGGGGGGCGGGGGATGACAAGCGTGCTTACATACCCTTTCGTACATTAGCTTTGATGTTCTTGATGCTGAAGATCAGATAATCATCCACCACGGCATTGCAATCGAACGTAAATGCAGAGAAACGCATTACAAGTGCTCCATTTGTAACCCTTGCAGAGAATTAGTGAATCGTCGAAAAAAATTAGCGGAGGAATACATACGATGCTGCGTTAACACCGAAGGACCCCTTGTTACCACCGGCGGTGAAGCTCCTGAAGAATGCGCGCTTTTCTGCCTGGCTTCGAAGCGATTCCAGGGCTCGGATAACGATCTCTTTTTCTGCGCTGGAATAGAGTGGGTCGTTTCTGACATTTGCGATCACATAGTCGCTGAAGTTCTCAGCACCAGTTGTTGTGCCATCAATGAAATCCGAAGACCACTCGTCAGCCTGCTTGAACCATCCAATTTGGAATATAGATGTCTTGAGTGCATTCCAGTATGCCTCGGTATGGTCATCGCTCCCCACTTCCTTGGCGGCAACGCGAGAGGCGAACTCGAGGGAATTGGCAACGTCCGTCTAAATGATAGCAAATGCCAGTGAGGCATCAATACTTGTCATCATCTTGAAGAAGGTGCACTGACGCGGTTTAGCCCGGTGAGGTTGGCAAGGACGGAGACCAAGGTGCCACCGACGGCAGCAGCACCGTCCTGACCGGGCTCACCCAAATACTTTCCACGGTCTAGTATGCAGAGCATCATTGATTTTATAGGACGATTATATGAGGTCGCCTACATACCTCCAACTTCCTCGAGAACTTTAGCCCTGGAGTAGAGGCCGACCTTGAGTGGCGCTAAGGTCGCCGACTTGATGTACGCCGCAGCTTGAGCAATATCGTTGGACATGTTGACTTGAAAGAACCTGAGAGGAGTTAACAGTAGATGTGTGAGTCACAGCGATCCTGGATTCAGAACGCGCCTACATACGTCCTTTATACTCACGAGCTTTACAATCTTGATCCATATCTGATGAGATCGCGATGCTTGTGATGCACCAGCACCAAGATGAGATTGCTAACCTGTGTGACTAACCTCCTGACCATGGATGCAACTGTATGTTTTCCCAGTCAGAGAAGCCGAGAAGATGGTTGGAAAGCGGCAGCCGGTAGGGTTCGCCACTCACATGCTCACATGATATGATCGACGCGCTCAATGGAAGTAAGAATAATGTTTCGAAGACGCACTTTCCTCCGTGTTCCAGGCACCTGGCTCAGCAGTGCAGGCACGGCGTACCCCAGTTTATCCTTTCAGGGGTGATGAACGGGCAACTTCAATGATCTAGGAGATATGTTGCTGTAAGACTGACATAATACTCGCCACCCAACGGCAAGACAAGCATCGCACGTGACTTTCAAGTTTCTGAGGCTAGGACACTCATCTGACTGGCTGCGTTTGCCCCACATTTTGCAAGAGGTGCCGTCGCCGTAATGGAATTATCACCACCCAACTGTGAGTTATCATTTTATCGGCTTGAGTGTCACCGTTTAAGCGATAAGAGGGGGTTATATCCTTACAGTAATCGGAAGCCACCAGTGTCATCTGGTGTGAACGGACACAATTTCTCCCTCGCCACCACATGTGCGTATTGCAACGAACAGCTGTGACGATAACACGATGCATCCACACATCTGGACCAACTGCTCCAAGAGTATCCTTACCTTGTAAATATTCCGCTAGATCATGTCTTCCAGAGTTCAATATATCGGCATAGGGTTTGCACAGAAAGGCAAGGCTGATACGCCGTGTTCTGCGCAGGTTACTTGCCGCATCGTTTCACGGTCGAGACTGCCTTTGGAGAAGTACGCGAAAGTAGGAATCACGATTTTTGCCTTCCTGACATCCACGTCTTGGGCATTGTTTACCCCTGGATTCTCCAATGCCCGAGCACCGCCGGAGACGTTGAGTTGAAACCAGTGCGAATCAGAATCTACAGAACAAGAAAGATCAGCTGAATTCGACAGGTCTTCGAGGCCAGCGCCAGTATTCTCGCATTGTTCACCTTTGTCAGCTGGCCGCATCACATCTGACAACCAGAATGGACGCACCTTCTACGATGGGATATTTGGCCCGTTCAACCGGTCCCGGTGCCATCTAGCAATACTACATTGTCTGTGCTAGCAGCGAGCACAGCAGCCTAAGGACACTTCTCTATGCAGGTCAGCTGCATGGTCCCTACTGGAGTTGGAGTGCATGTTTGATGACATACATTCCATGTCTTCCGGCTCTAGGTTCGCCGCCTGTGCGAGGTATTACCCATCAGCTTCGGACGCATGAGAGAACCGAGATCGTAGTCCATTCATGCCTAGATCTTGGACTTCGTGCAATGGACGTAACTTCTTCCTGCTGTGGTCACGTTACCGGGAATGTTGGATTCTAAACGGAGCATCCTGAAGGAAGCTCCCTGAAAAAAGAAAGGCCAGCTAAATGCCATCACCCTTCTGTGCACCTCAGGGGCCATTCGTCTCGCACGTCCAACGAGAACATCAGCTTCTCAAAGTCGAATTCCAAGTTTCTGATCACATAGGCAAGCTGTGATTGGATGGATAATCGACATCGCAGTCCGACTGGGTGTGACCGTTTCATTTCCTCCTGTATTCCTCGAAACCGAAGCGTACATTGGTTTTCAATCCTAAACGGGATAAGAAGAAAGCCTTTGTCGTAGAGGTCAGCTGAATTCGATCACCTTCCGTGCATTGGAAGTTTTTCCCTGCCTTCCATGAAATTTGGGGTGCAAACAGCAATTCTGTTGCCGGCCATCTTAACCCGAGTAGATTTGTGTGAAGCTTCTTCGTCGCCGACCACGTGACAACTGGATGTTTAGTAGTCGTCGTTCTTTGCGAGATGCTAACGGCGATTTGGATAGGCACAGGCGGGTTGGTCAGGTGCGAGTCGAGGTGAGCACGCATGTTCTTGTACCTGGTGGAACACGACTTTCAAATGGGGCTTGCTCGACTCCCGGCGTCTGCCGCTGGGGAATGTATTATAACCCTTCGTACGCACACCGGAGTTATCACACGTTGAATCCCTACCTCTGATATCAACTGGCATGTCTACCGGTGCGGCTGTCTGCGTCTCCATACTCCTAGTTTTTTTGCCTGGCGTCAGCGCACAACACCAGGTGGGGTTTACTGCACAATCAAACGTTCCTACTCAATCTTCGTGCAGGAGGACGTACGAAACAGCTTTGAGTTGGCTGCCAGAGCAGCAGATAAAGCGACTGGCGATGACTACGTCAGATGGTTCAATACTTTCAAGACTACGCTTTTAAATATACACTGGTTTAGCCAACAAGATGGGTTCGTTCATGCTGCTTCATACTTGCCGCGGTCGACTTATGCTCCAACTCAATGTTGACAGGCTAGAACAGGAGGTTCAGGGACTAGTCTTTGATTCTTTGGATTTAAGTGGCTCAGAGCGCGATCTGCTCATCCGTGCTTTGAACGCCCTCCAACAGAAAGCAGAAAACGAACAGGCACTAAATCTGTTCAACCAGAGTGCTCTTGATGAAGTCAGTCAAGACGCGGTTTCCCATTTGCTTTTTATCGGAGGGGGGAGTTACCATGGCAAATTCCAGCTTGCCGTTTGCTCGTGAGTTCACAATATGTGATCCTGCCATTACATTGCAACTCAAGCGAACAATCTTCAGGGAGAAGAATGGTGCCGTTGCAGTCTCTACTTCCTATGTCCACTTCAATGTCGATGGGGCGCAATACAGCAGCATTCTCTATGCAGATGGCAAGGTGGAAACAAAGACCACACTCTGTAAGTAGAATGCTTCGAATCGCTGACAGGATGCTGACTTAGTGAGCTTAGCGACCCACGTGCTTGGTTTGAACAGTGAACTATTCAGCAAAGTTCGCGATTCTGTCAAGAAAAAACTTGCGGACAGTGGGGTATCTGAACAGGCGCCCATTTCTGGATTGTAATATGTGAATGCGATGCGTGGCTACCATTGATATATCTAACAAATAAGAATCATTAACCGGACTGGTGGAAACAACTATGTTGCTGAGCGCTGAATCCTGGTCCCATGTTGTTGTGTCCTGGGTTGTGTAGAGCTCACCATACATCGTCATGTTTTTGTTGGTTACAATTTTTTACATGGTCGCTGCACCTGGAAATTGTGTCAGACACTTATCACTACATCGATAGTTGGAAGCCTTGGTGAATCGTGATACCCTCATGCAATCGATAAATCGACGTTATCTCTCCGAGTTCATGTCGTTTCTGCGGCGGGAATATCTAGATTCTATTGCGCAGAGGAATGGGAGAAATGAAGAGCAAAGGCACGAACACTTCCTTATAATCAAAACGGTAGTAGATTTGAATAAAAGCTTGTTAAGCGTTGAGGGGCTCAGTTGTCGAAATAGACAAGTGAAGAACGAATGTAGAATTCGATAGGGATTGAGGAAGAAATCCCTGAGTTTATATACATGAGTAGATACTGCACGGACCAAGAGCATAAAAGGAAACTACTACTCAGTATAGTAAGGAACTGCATAGAAGGTCATGGAATATGACGTATGAAATGACATCATACTAATATCATTGTGGAGCTGATTGCTAAAGAATGTCATGTGATGACAACGTGTTGATACACGTGTAAGTCTGGATCAATCTAGATGTCGGAACATATAGTAACATTTCCAACACTCCCCCTCGTTCTAGAATGGGAGTGTAACAAGTCCCATCGACAAGCGATTTAGTCTCAAATTTTTGCCACATCAAGGATTTTGTAAGACCATCTGCTTTTTGTTTGTCAGTTTGCACATATTCAATACTGAACAAATTATCTTGAACACATTCATGAACAAAGTGCCATTGGATGTCGATATGTTTAGAACGACCATCCGATACAGGATTCTCAGCTATGAAGCGAGCTCCCATATTATCACAATAGAGAATAGTTTTCTCAGTCTTGAGTTTGAGTTCATCAAATAGCATAGCGAGCCATTTGATTTGACATGCAGTATCACAGAGAGCCATATACTCGGCTTCTGTAGAGGAGAGCATGATTGTCTTCTGTTTATGAGAGCACCAAGAAATAAGGGATGATCCAAGGAACATGGCATAACCAGTAGTTGAATGATGAGTGTCTTTATTAGCGGCCCAATCAGAGTCTGCAAAGCCATAGATTCGAGATTCAAGTCCCGAATAATATAAAGCCAATTTTGGGGTAGATGCAATATAGCGAACTATATGCAAGGCTTTATTTCTGTGATCTTCGGTAGGATTCACCATATATTGTGACATGCAAATAACTGCATAGGCTGATATCGGGACGAAGTACGAGAGCCATATAGAGTAATGACCCAATAATAGACTGGTACCTGTGAATCGAAGAGAAGATGTGGCTTGGTAATCTGATGGTGCTTTTTCTGGTTGATATCCCGATGGTAATGGAGTGCAAACATTTCGAGCAGTCTCCATGTTGAAATGTTTGATAACCTTTTTAACATAAGGTATCTGATCGAGATAAAGTTCCTTTTTGGATCGATCACAGTGAATTTGAATGCCAAGATAT